CCCATATTTGGCCAAACATTATACTGGTTGTTTGAAGTCAACTAGGTGGAGTTCTCTAACACTCTTGGTGCCCCAGTAACAGGCCTGAGTTTTCCTGACCAAACCTGTGAGTAGGAGGTCTTTATTTCCTCAGACCTGAGGATTGTTCTGGGACATCCCAAAGGCGGGAACTGCAAAACGACATAAATAAATTGAGTAGTGAGAAAATCTAGTGAAAAATACATCTAGGTCCTATACCTTACTAAATAATTACAAGACAAATTCAATTATATTAATGCTTCATGATACTTTAAAATAAAAAGCTAAGGTTATCCTGTTTTCTATGATTTCCAAGTGTTTTGCTGCACACCCATCTCATTTCAGCTTAGATAAGGAATAAGATTTTTATATAGTTGAAAAAGTAGAAGCTATCACTGGTGGTGACATACTGTATAGGGTGGCTTTAGATTTTCACAATTGAATGGTTCTTAGGAGACAGGTAATATGACCAGTAGTTGTCATAGGCTTATTGCAGGTATTTTGGCTTTTGATGTCTTAATGTGTGAAAGATTATTAATGCCACTATTGATATTATATTTCAGGTGACTGTAACTGAAAACTGGCTCAGTTTGGCCAATTCAAAGTCATGAATAGTCCTGGTATTTGTCACATGGTCAACCGGTTAAAGAACATATTTATTTTAGTATTGTGTAGCAGGTAGGACAGGCCAGTGTTGAGGGCAATCTTCACGCTTTTGCATTTGAAATCCTTCAGTTACCTCAGTATTTTACCGGAGTTCACAGTAAATGTAGCCCTGAGTTTTGTTGCCCCCTTTGGACATTTTTATCAGTCACTTTTCAACCTTCAGACTTGCCTGCACCTCCTAACAAACAGCAATATGTTCATTCTGGAAGACTGTTGTTCCATCTACTGATTCCTTTACCTATCCCTTCTCATCTGCTTTGCTGACTGACATTAACACTGACGTTGAGCGATGCATTGCAAAACGGCTGGCTCATGTATTTTCTTAATTAACTTACAGCATTTGGAGACTTTGGTTGATGTAACTCTCCAATCTACAAATGTGTTATTTCTCTCCTTCATTTTACATCAGCATTTGTCAGTCTGTAGATGCAGATGTTTTGACCTTGAGCCTTTGTTCAGTCTACATCATGTGTAAGTATGGTACAGTACAGTTTACTTGTTAATGGCTTAAACAGTTTGAGCAAGTATTCCTGTCAATTTTTAAAATGTCATTTTTGTATCCATAATTACCAATCCATATGCTAGATACCTGACCTTCATAGAAATAATTATCCTTCTACATTTGCAGGAGTGCTAGCAAGCAATTTAGATTTGCAGCTTAACGTTAGTGGCATTTC